CCAGTACGGCAGCCAGCACAGCACGTACACCGCTATCACCGTCAGCACCAGCTTCGTCACTTTCCTGTGCGACCGCTTTTTCTCCTTCGACTTATTTTTTGGTCCAACGGTCTTCAGCTTGCGGATAACGAGGCAGTAAAAGACGAATATGAGTGTCAGAGGCGCAGCGAAACCGAGTGCAAAAGAGTAGAGGGTAAAAGAGGCCTGACCCTTAGCGAACTCACGCTCGGGCCACACGATGTTGCACGAGAGGCCGTTGTCGCTGTGGATGAGCGTGGTGTACATGAAGATGGGCGTCATGACCAGTGCGGAGGCGGTCCACGCAGCAGCGGAGACGAGGCGCGAAACAAAGGGCGTGCGCAGGCGCGGTGCGGCGATCGGGTGGCACACTGCGATATATCGGTCAGCGCTCATAATGCACAGGAAGATGCTGCTCGTAAACTGGTTGATGCCTGTCGATATCATGTACGCTTTGCACATGAAACGGCCGAACGGCCACGAGCGCACCGACATTGTTATTATGAGAAATGGGATGCCTATGAGGAAGCACTCGTCTGCGATGGCCAGGTTGACGATGTACATGTTGGTGACGGTCTGCATCTTGGAGTAGCGCAGCACGACGTAGATGACGAGCGTGTTGCCTAGCAGGCCCACGACGCACACGAGCGCGTATAGCACCTGCGTCACCACGTACACCACGGGCAGATTCACGTTGGGGCAGTTCTCGTACGTGCCGTTCAACGTCGAGTTCTCGTCGAACGAGTAGTTGCTGTGCCCATACATCTCCACTTCTTCGATCTCCATATTTACGATGTTCTTATTTCTTGTTGTACCAAAGTGTTCTTGTTTTAATATTGTGTATTACCTATAAACAAAAAAAAATGATTACATTAGTTATTGATCTGATTGAAATTTAATACTTATTGGACATACTCATATTGTATCTTCGAGTACTAAACATCGCAATTTCCTTCCATTCGATTAAGCACAGCCTCTGCCCTTGAACTTTTGATATTAGGATTGTTTACAACTAAACATTGTAATTAAAAATCTAGCAATGAAATTGAAATATGATCATAATGTGGTCATTGTATTGCTTACATTGTTGATATCGCTGAGCAGCGCGCAGCTCACACAACCTTCGCAGATCTGGAACACCCATCTGAAACAATGCAAATATTTTCCATTTTATTTATTATCATACCTTTATCTGTTAGTCAAAAGTTCTGTTCATTTACTAATTAATGATTTCTTCTAAATCAAGTTATTTGTATAATGCAGTCTAAATAAATGTTTCTCATTTTGACATAATTAAAGTTTTATTTCCATTCAAAATGATTGCGAGTACCAATAATTGAATTTAATTGTTTCAATGCAAGTGTAATTACAATAACAACACTAATTCATGTTCAGTTGTTGTTTATGTTACGGCTTGAAAGTTATTGATATAAATATTAGTCGAAGATTTAAATACCGACGTACAATACATTTTGCAAATGTTATATTGTTTCAGCGGCAATATAACATGCAATACTGACACGTTTATGTAACGTTTACAACAATAATTGTTATTTATGTAAGTTATTTTCAACAGAATAATCGGAAATGTAAGATCATCAAAGTTCAATGCAGTTTGTACACAACTTGTTTTCGACGAAAATGTTAATTGACATTTTGTTAAACAATATTTTGATGTTTGAAATGAATCCCTTGACATAATTATAACAACAAAATAAATGGGAACGAGGTCGGAAACATATTACTTAATTTTCACTAAGTATGGCCCTACAATAATTAAAACTTTCACTAATTAAAAAATAAATTATTAGTTCATAAGCACATCAAACCATATACTAGAATACTTCAATAAGACCATTATTAATAAAAGTTAAAAATAAACAATAAATAATGATAGAGCCGCGATAACGGCACGTGTTTATATGTTGGCGCTAAACGCAACAAGGAACGAATCTCGCGGCGTATGTTTACACTACGATGATTGGTGGCCGAGGAAATAGAACATTGTTTGGGCGGCGTGGTATGGCAGTACACGCACCACGCGACTCGCCCGCGCTCTTATCACACCAACATTTTTTAATTGCTAATATTATTTGAAACCATTGCACTGTACAACGAATACAAGACAAGTAATTAAAGGTTGAATATTGTTTTCTTTAGGTGTCCAATCATCTCCTTTTGTAACAGGCCAGGTCGGTCGAGTCCCGCTGGGATAGGTCAGTCAACAATCTCTGTTGTACATTGAGGCTGAGTAACAAATTCTCGGCGAACATTTACTTTGAGTTGGCATGAGATCGCGTCCGTATCCTATCACATTGACGCTGTTTATTGAAAACATTGCGTAAGAATTAATTTTTCGCAAACGTAGCACTTTATTGCGAGCATAATGAATTTGATATAAAAATTAAATGTAATTTGCATAATGACTTTGAAATTGTACAAAAGAGTGAAAGGGTCTTGCGTTGTTATTCAATGTTTTAATAATAAATGTAAAAACTCTTTGTTAGGCGCGAAAAAATCCACAAAACAGTTACTTTATCTTCATTAATTTGAGTTTACAAAGGTTTGTAATGGCTTTAACTTCCCTTAACCGTACCCCAGCTTTTTTTCGTGTATAATTCAAAGAGGAGCTTTGTACAGCATTGTAAACATTATCACAAGATCGTTTTAAACGCCTCAGCTTTTAAGCTTGGATTGAGCGGAGATGCGATAAAAATTGTTTGAACTACAAGGTGGCTATTTGTACACAACGTGCTCTACGGCCGCTTTTCTTCGTTGCTTATTCTGTTCACATTTTTGATGTTTTATAATGATCGTAATATTTGACTTCTTTGTTCGTATACTCGACTTCTCTCATGTACCTATTACACTTTGGTTCTGTCCATCGTATTTTTTTTACTTAGTTTTTTAAATGTCTAGATAATACATGTCAGTTGAATGTGTAATGACACGACCGCATATCGTTGATGGATGTTGGAGTGTTGAGACTGACTCAGTGCTCGTGATGTATTTGTGATAGGAAAAATATTGTTATTTAAAAGGCGCGAAGAGAGCCGCGCGTGTGATTTACGACCCTCTATAAATGCTCTCTTGCGTATCTGCTGACAGATGATATTTTGCATGATCATAAGTTAAATTGGCAAAGTGTTAGTAACAAGATATCATACCGACGAACGCGCAAATGTAGTTATCCCAGTCCAGTTTCCTGAAAATTATTTTAGGATCAATTATTGATTAAATTCAAGACTTTCAGATTCAAGTCACAGATTTTCAGATTTTGTAATTAGTGTAAATCTGTAGTTTACACTCATTAAGGCTTTAGCTTTATAGCAATAGGCAACAGACTATTATTATAATTTCTACAATATCCGGTGACATTAATAAACGGACAGTCTGGTCTCCCCAGGACTGGCGGCGCAGCCCGACAGTGTAAACGGCCTACATCGCACGAAACGCACTCTTCAAACTCTTCCACTCTCCTCAAAAACTATAAAGTCAGTACAATATAGACATAATACGCAATAATTTCGATATCTTTAATAACTTGTTTCCAAATATAAATTAAGTAAATTATGGATGAAAATAAATTAACTAATTAAAGTTTGTTTTTCACCACACCATTTAAATGTTGTTTTGGATGTGTCCGAGTTTGGCACTGTAATATGTGGAAGTGAATCACAAAATTACCTCTTTTATTAAATAAAACTGGAAGAACAAGGAAAATGTGTTTACGTCGCTGCGCCCCGTTTGCGGGCTGGGACTGGGGCGGCAGCGGTGGGGCGGGGGGGCGCAGGCGGGCGGTTTAAGATGAGGTCATTGAACCCTCATCACAGGCCTAAAAATATTTTAGAGTGTGTAAATCTGGAAAATGCAAGACGGATATTAAGCTGCCGTCTTGACGTTTATATTTTTAGTGCGTTTATAATAAGTAATGAAAATGATACAGTGGGTATCAATGGTATCAAGTGAAAACTTGTTTACAACTGCTGTCAGTGACAGTTCCCCAGAAAATAACTATTGGTTTCTACTTAATAATTATCACGTTTTAAATTTGAGGGCGAAACGAGCCAGCTCAACTCTGAGCCTACCGACGCCGCAGCTAGTAGCCATATCTCTACGCCACAAGCACTTTTTGCGTATTTAAATGTGCCGTCCCTTTAAATTTACATTTTCCAACATTAATTATGTTTTGTGCCTAAATTACTAGACGCTTTTTTAAAGATTAAGGCAGATGGTGTATGTGATATAATGGAAACACTTAGATGACGAACATTATGTAATCCAATTGTTATAAAAGACTACTTAGACCTAGGTACAATTAGTGTCAATACCCTTTCGCTTGTAAACCAACACGACCTATTCTAAGTCTATTAATTAAATTGAGCTGTATTACTTATACATGCCGTGGTAGGTGTAATTCGATTGAAAGCATAAATGTTTCATTGGAGCTGTGAATGTAAAAGCATTTTCCAGCGATGTATTGCTGCAATAAAGGTGTACGCTGCATGCAGAGCGGCCGCGCCCGCCGCGCCCCCAGCGAACTGCGACCGTACACACTACCCTGCCCTACCCTTCCTTGCATTGGCCTACCCTACCGCACAACAGAACAAGACATAAAACATACAAAAGTTTTGTCTTCTTTAATTAAGAATTTATTATTAATATAATGTACCTATATCAGTTAAACTATACTTCGCAGTATTAGAAAAACAAAAAACTATCACGAGCCTGTGAATTGACCGCGGAGTTGTGCTGGCATTCAGCCACAAATATTATTGTTGTTCGTTTAATATGTTTAAAATATTATACGCGAGAAAAACAGAAATACCACGATACGATTGTAAACAACATATGTGGTGTCCTGTATTTTACGCCTTGTGTAAGCAAATCAACCATTGCGTAGCGTTTGAGTATTTGTTTTGTTTTCATGTTCCTTCGCTATTGTATATCAATCAAGGGTCTGCCTGTCGCTTCACTCAACTGGGGTCAGTTAACGACAAACTGACATCATTATTCAACAATAATGAATTATGAAAATGATGGTCGTCGCTCGTCCGCCGCGCCATGCATGATAAATTAAGATGTTTATGCACACATGATTGTATTACTTCATTTCCACAGCAGGGCTGCCGCAGCGCCGGCAAAGGCAACGGCAACGAACACGTTAACTGACCGCTGACACAAAACAAACAAGTTTTCAAAACAACTAATGAATTGTAGAACAACACATGTTATGGAAATTGATGTATAATGTAATTATGCTGATGATGCTGATGTACATATTTGTTCACATACAACTCACTAATTTGAAAGTCCTGCGTAAATATTCAACTCAAACTTTACCAAAGTTTCCGCTCGTTCATACATATAAAATGTTCCCCAAACAAAGTTATATTAGCTTTGATATTATTGTAGAAAGTAGCGGGCCCGCGTCACCTCGCTGCGGCGCGCGCTTCTTGTAAGGCCGGAGATAAGATGCTATACAAACTGCTTATTACTTATTTACCGGTTCCTCTGAGAACAAATTTAATAGGTCCCATACCCATAGCCCATTATCTAATGTGCTAATTCTCTTTACTAGAGCGGAATGGGTATTCCTCCGGGATAGCTAACTATGTGTAGCCAAATTTCGAAGCGGCCAATTTAAGAAAATATGACGCAATTTGTGGAGATCTCTAAACATTTCATCAAACGATCAGTAAATAATCTGTCCGATGTCCATCTATGAATATCGATCGGTGACGTCAGAGTGAATGAAATTTTAAAGAATGCGCACGTCAGCGGATCTTTGAGCGCCGTTGATTTATTCTAGACTTTCGGGTTTCGGCCGCCGAATGCCGGCTGCCGGCTGCCGGCTGCCGGCCGACGCAACTCGCTGCCGCTCATCAAATTAATGAAGATTTATTCCAGTGGCTAAAAAAGTGAAACAAACTGTAAAGTTTTTCAAATTCTTACATAAAAGATATGAGTCCGTTAAGAAATTTTGAAAACCAACAGAATAAATATTGCTTCATAATGTTTTATAGTACATATTATAAAATACACAGATAAGTATATTTGGTCTCATGAGATTCGAAACTTAAACATTTCAAATATCCAAAAATTAAATGGAATTATTAAAAATACATTTGTTTTATTTATAAC